TCCTCAGAGGGATGGAGTTCATTTGCAACCAAACAACAGACAAGTCTGTTTGAGGCATTTGAGAAATGGTACAGACTTCTGGCGGAGCAGTAATTGAATTAACCGAAGAATGAGAGCGCTTATAAATAGTCTCATCATCAAAGTGCGCTTTGCGTCGTACGTTCTGAGGTTTATGTAGAGAAAAATTAGAAGAATTTTTACTTTTACAAACGATGGCAATATTGCCTTTCTTGTGGCACTGATGACACTCTACATTCGAAAATTTGCAGTCCTGACGCCTGTGTTTTGCTCCGCAACTCAAGCAACAGCCCCATTGTATTTTGGTCGTCAAGTTGGCTGACTCTTGAGAATTACGGTCTACTGAACTATAGATGACTGGTAGATAAAAATCTTCAGATCCTGGCTGTTGTGTCTCAGCTGCATTTTGTGTACGCTTCTGAGCAATGAATAACGCCCGGTCTAAAGTACAATTTTTAAGCTCCAGAAACTTTGCTCTTGCGCCCGGATTGTTTATACATATTGTAAAAACAAGAGCTACTGCCGGCTCATAGAAATCGCCTAATGAACATGGAACTGCCTTTTCTGAATTGTATTTGCAAGTTCAAGAAAAGACTGGCTGCGTTATTTCAGATGAAAAAGACAATGTCGTTCCGCAAAAAGAAGAGCCTTGACGCCACACATTCTTTTAAAATGATCGACTAACGCTTGCAATGTAAGCTTAATTATGTCATTAGGATGAACGAACGTAGACAAAGATTGTTAGACGTTTGACAATAAGAAATTCAAAAGAAACAAAGACTGGCTTTCCTTTTCAACCTTAGAGATGGTAAGGAAAAATTGAAATTTTGATAACCAAGAGAGAATATCGTACGTAGTTAGGTCGAAGTGTTCTGGAGGATGTGCAATTCAATGAGGCATCAAAATAGTCTACGCAAAATACAACGAAGAACCAAAAAAATGATACTGATTGCCAACTGTTGCGTTTCTGTCCAACCTAGCTTAGCGTGGGTTCCGAAATATATTAGGGAAACAGAATTAAGGAAAGAAAGCTTTACTAATATAAATGCAAAGCAAAAGAAAAATTGAAACAAATAAAAGCAAACAGATTAGAAAATCTAGAGAAAAAAGATAGAAATAGTTCCAATGAATATGCAGAGTGAAGTAACAGATTGAGGGAGAAATAACCAGATGATAAGGAATTGTAGGCACAGCTAGAATTGAACTAATAGGAGCTCAGACAACACTAGTTAACAGCTTATTTATAAGCGCCTCAGTGTGGCCACAAATAGATCGACGGCCGTTTGGTCTAAGACTACTACAACAAAACTGGAGGGAGTAAACCATGAGGTGAAAATAGATAATTCTTGACATTCCGGAGGGAGGAATGAATACCGAACGCATAAGAAATTGCTGTGCCTGAAACGTATCCAAGTCCCTCACCATCGAGTCATCCATCCGTTTGGACGACTCAGCACGGACATATGCAACACCAAATGGGCTTCTGTGGCCCCAGACCTTAAGTTTTTTTGTTGTACTGTCGCCTAACTCAATGACGGCACCAGGTCACTTGCATTTAACAAAGCCCGTCGGGCAGGCAGGCAATTCTTTCATTCGTCCCCTTAACTGGCTCATCAACCCCAGCCAGGTTCGCGATGTACACCGACCTAATTTCACCTTAATCGGAGCAGCTCTATGCGGCAAAGTTTGCACCGCTCTCGCTCCCTAAGCCTCGCTCACGCAAAGAGATTTGGGTTGCTGTCGCCATCTTAGCAACCGCCTAGGAAGGAGGTTGAGAAAACCAATTTCCTTACAAATTTTATTTTCTGCCTCCCTTTCTTCTGGAGTCAGGTGCTGTTATCGATTAAAACCGCTTTTCATGCTTCTCCTTTAGTGTTCAGATATATGACTTGATTTGTCCCAAAATGACCTCTAAATCTTCCTTAAACTTTTTACAGGCCGGAATTTGGATGTCTAATTCTCAATATTAAGGATTTTCTCGTTCTATTTTCTTTTCTATCAGTCGCAACAATGCTTAGGGATACTTGAGCTTTTTCTAAAATTCCTGACATTAAACAGATATTTTTTAGTAGCTGGTGCGAAAAAATGGCAGGTAGAAAACACGAAGCGCTAGAGGATATGTGGTAAATGCAGTGAGTTAGCAAGCAGAAGAATGGATGCAAACTGACGCTAGTACTGTAAGTTTTGTTCGATTGGTTTGCCGCTACAGGATACGCACCGTGCAAAAACAAATTGTTTGATATAACAAACCCTTGTCGTTTAGCTTCTTCTGGTGGTTCAGTAGTTGCCTCAAATTTAGCGATTAAACCTTTATTAAATCACTATATATCGACGCGAGACGGCAGTGAATAATTATGCTAAAAGTTCACGGTGGTTTTTGAATCAAAACAAAGCGTAAAAGATAAAAGCAGAGTCTGAAATATATCAGCTCGTGCTGACCAATCATGTAAAATTAGACTAGAAATACAATCAACTCATTCAAATTTTCAGCAAACCATAATGTTTTCATGCGACGGCTGTTGCTTAACATCATAACACTTTTTCCCTACACTGATCACTCCTTCTTACTATTCTCTCCTTTACCTACGGCAACACACTTTGCCTTATGAGAGCAATGCCTGATCCAACCTGGACCTACGGCTTGACTACTTCTTCCCAATTATTAGGCAGTTTCTTAATGTTTTTATCACTCAACTGCTACGGTACGAAAGGAAACCAACTAAGATATACAATAAGCAAACACTCGAGAAAGTTATAAAGGGACAGTAAAGTAAATCAATTAAATTAACGCTTAATATGAAACTACAGCTGCCAATGAGCACGTCTAATACTAATTCGTAAAAGCGAGTTTTATAAATCAAGGAACATATTCATCGTAGTTTAGCTTACAACCGTAACTCCGGATGATATTTTTGACAATGAAAAAGTTTTATAATTTTACTAGGTTGGCGATGCTTTTCTTCTTGGCCTCAGGCAGCATTACTTTATGGCTGGCACCAAAAGGAGTCGCTTTGGGGTCAGGCCGAAGTAAATGCCTGAAGGACTGTCCTTTTCCGCGTAGTCGCGACAGCAGTTATCACAGACACTTGAAGCCATTTTTGATGGCAATAACACGTGTTCATCAACGTTATAACTGTTATTGAGAGACAGTACAAATTCTTCAATAATGAATAAAAAACAAAAAAAATTGAAAATTCTTATTGAAACACGAAACGTTTAAAAATATATTAAGGGGTAAAAAGCGTTAGAAAGGCTTATTTGAATATTT